CGGCAGGCCTGGGGTTTATAAAATCTGACCCTTGGATGACTGTTATTGTATTGTTTGTTTTGTCATGTTATATGGTGTTTTTATTGTTAGCCGCCCGGAGTCCTGCGGGAGTGGGGCGGCTTATAAATTTTAAAAATAAAATAAATAAAATAAGTCAAGGGCTACTTGTATCAGAGGGAACGTAGCCAGCGTGTTTCTGCACGTTCCTGTTGAGGCTTCAAAAACTTTCTGGGAGGATACAGGGATTTGCATAAGGTCAAAGGTAATACGGTCTCACCCAATCTCACACCCGTTGAATACAGGAAGTCCTCCGGATTTGACCAACTGCTTTACAACAATTCAAAGTTAGGATGGCCACAGAGAATCAAGGCTCTACAGCAGGGGTCCTCAACCGTGGCAACGTTAAGACTTGTGGACTTCAACTCCCAGAATTCCTCAGCCAGCAAAGCTGGCTGAGGAATTCTGAGAGTTGAAGTCCACAAGTCTTAACGTTGCCACGGTTGAGGACCCCTGCTCTATGGCTTTTAAAGCTGCTTCTCAGAAATGGTGGCATAACCCCCTTGCAGTCATGTCAGGCAGATCAGCTTTAAGGCATTTCCATGGCCATGGGACCAAAATTTGTGAGGTTCTTTTTTTATTATTGATTTCCCCCCCCCCAAAAAAAAATCCCTTCCACCCATTCAAATGGATGGATTTGCTTAGTGCACTGTGAAAAAAAGGCTGGAAAATTATTGCCAATCGTACGGGAACCTCGACTTATCGCTGGGACGACTGACTACCAGATTTCCAGTCCGAATTACAGTCGTAAATCAAGGACTCCCTGCAGGTTGTGTGTGTGTGTCCATTTTAATTTTATCTACGACTGAGCTTATAGGCTGCTTTGCTCATGGAGGCTGAGCAGCATCCATCCCAACCTTGTGATGAACTGGGTTAAAAATGATCCAGTGAAAACAAAACAAATCGATGGTATTACCCAAGCAACGCAGAGGACCGGGAACAATCATTACAATAATATAAACCCAAATCAAGATCACGCACATTCCAGCCTCGAAGGCTTGATGGAATGACCAGATGTTAATGACCTTCCTGTACTTAAAAGCAGAGAATCACTCTGCCAACAAAAGTACGTATAGTCAAAGCCATGGTTTTCCCAGTTGCAATGTATGGCTGTGAAAGTTGGACCATAAGAAAGGCTGAGCGCCAAAGAATGGAGGCCTTTGAACTATGGTGCTGGAGAAGACACCTGCGAATCCCCTGGACTGCAAGTTGATCAAACCGGTCAGTCCTAGAAGAGATCAACCCCGACTGTTCTTTAGAAGGCCAGATCCTGAAGTTGAAACTCAAGTACTTTGGCCACCTAATGAGAAGGAAGGACTCACTGGAGAAGAGCCTAATCCTGGGAAAGATGGAGGGCAATAGAAGAAAGGGACGACAGAGAATGAGGTGGCTGGATGGAGTCACTGAAGCAGTAGGCCTGAGCTTAAATGGACTCCAGAAGATGGTAGAGGACAGGAAGGCCTGGAGGAACGTTGTCTCCAATAGAATAGTTCAGCGGGCTTTCTACCCAACTGCTCCCCCTCCCAATCTAACTGGCAGAAATGACCTTGGTTCCCACAGGACATTGAATTGTTTAGACTAGCAGAATTCCTCCGCACCCTCTCCGATCTTTGTGGCAACCTAGAGCGAGCAAGATGGCTGCAGCCAGGTTCATTGTAGAGTTGACACAATGTTGGAACACCCACAACTTCTGGAGGCAAGCTGTTCCACTGATTAATTGTTCTCACTGTCAGGAAATTTCTTCTCTGTTCTAGGTTGCTTCTATCCTTGATGAGTTTCCATCCATTGTTCCTTGTCCTGCCCTCTGCTGCTTTGGAGAATAGGTTGACTCCCCCCTTCTTCTTTGTGGCAGCCCCTCAAATATTAGAGCACTGCTATCATGTCACCCCTTGTCCTTCTCTTCATTAAACTAGATCAGTGGCGGCGAACCTATGGCAAGGGTGCCAGAGACGGCACTCAGAGCCCTCTCTGTGGGCACATGCACTGTCGCCCCAGTCCTAGGCCTTCAGCTGGGTTTTATAAAACCTTTTCATTTTAGGCCTCCACTGCCGTGTGCAAAAAAAAAAAAGGTTCAATCAATCAGTCAATTTCAACTTCTCGCGGGGAAAAAAAAAGATCTTGCAAAGTTGGAATTGATTGATTGAACTTTTTAGTCCCACCCAGTCTGCCATTACCACCGCAGCCACGCCTACCCAATGGGCCACACCCACCCAATGGGCCACACTCACCCAGCACCCAATGATGCATAAGTGGGTTTTGGGTTGCAGTTTGGAGACTCAGTCTAGTCTAAAACGTTCGCCATCACTGAACTAGACACAGCCGATTCCAGCAACCGTTCCTTATATGTTTTAGTCCCCGGTCCCTTGATCATCTTTGTTGCTCTTCTCTGCACTCCACCAAGGGACTAGCTAGGGAGAAGGGGAATTGGAGGGGACCTCAAATGCAAAATGGCCTCGTTCCCAAGCTGGCCCAGAATCAATGGCTGGAGTGGACATCCTTCCCAGGCCCACAGGGACAAACTTGATGTGAGTTTTCATATTCCTCCCACTTGAAGCCAAAGGGACAGCCTAAAAAAAAACCAAAAAAAAAAAACAAAACCTTGGAGACCTTCACCGCAAGGGGAAAAAAATGAACTGGGGAGGATGGAATGATGACCCAAAAAAGAGGGGGGGAGCCTCTTTCTCCCTTCCGGGAACACGTGGATAGCAAGCACGTGTGCATGCACGTACACAGTAAAACACACAAACGCACACAAACACGCCCTGCCTGATTCCTTCTCTCCCCCCCAACCACCCCCCACCCCCCAGGCAAATTCAATATGGTTGCCTCAGCTCAATTAGCATCCGGGAGAAAAACCTTAGTTCTCTCTCCTCTCCCCCCCCCCACCTAGTCAATGCCGCCAGTCAGGGATGGGGGTTGTCATGGAAACAGGGAGAGCCAGCCTGGCGGAATTTTTTTTGTCTTTCCTTCCCTGGGGAGGGCAGGGAAGATACCTCCAGCTAATAAGATGCAAACTGGGGAGGGAAAAAGCGAGGAAGTTGGGCAACTGAGATAAAATTTGGGGGGGGGGAGAGAAGTGTAAAAGGACAAATTGCACCTTCCCCACGAGACACACTGCACTCCCCTCAAAAAAAGATAAAAAAAATCTTGCAAGGCCAGGCTTCTGAGGGGTGTGTGTGTGTGGGGGGGGAAGGGACCTTTTTGGCAAAACCGTAGCCGGTTCCTTCCTGCTCCGAATCCCTTGCCAGGGCTGCCAGGCGCTTCCATGGGGCCGCCCCCTCCCTCAGAAACCTAAAGAGGCCTTGATTGGAAGGAAGGACCCGCCATCTGCAAGCTGCTATTTGTGACAGGGAAGCGTTGCCGTGGCAACAGCAGGCAGCTGTGCTTTGTTTTGGTGGCTTCGGGAAGGGGAGGGGCGAGAGGAAACGGGCGCTTCGGCAGGGAGGGAATCTCTTAGGAACGAGGGATGGCCGCCCGTCCTGCTGAAGTAGAACGAAGTAGAATAAAGTAGAATGATGAAGAATAAAGTGGAATAAAGTGGAATAATAATAATAATGGGGGAAAGTGTGTAGTGGGGTGCCCCAGGGCTCTGTTCTGGGCCCAGTGCTCTTCAACATCTTCATCAACGATTTGGACGAAGGGATAGATGGGGAACTCATCAAATTTGCAGACGACACCAAGCTGGCAGGAATAGCCAACACTCCAGAAGACAGGCTTAAGATACAGGAGGATCTGGACAGACTTGAACACTGGGCACTATCTAACAAAATGAAATTCAGTGGTGAAACAAGTAAGGTTCTACATTTGGGCAAGAAAAACCAAATGCACAAGTACAGCATAGGTGGCACCATGCTCAATAATAGTAACTGTGAGAGGGATCTTAGGAGTCCTAGTGGACAATCCCTTAAATATGAGCCAGCCGTGTGCTGCAGCTGCCAAAAAGGCCAACACAGTGCTAGGCTGCATTAACAGAGGGATAGAATCAAGATCACATGAAGTATTAATATCACTTTACAACGCCTTGGTAAAGCCACACTTGGAATACTGTATCCAATTTTGGTCACCACGATGTAAAAAAAATGCTGAGACTCTAGAAAAAGTGCAGAAAAGAGCAACGAAGATGATCAGGGGACTGGAGGCTAAAGCATATAAGGAACGGTTGCTGGAATTGTGTATGTCTAGTTTAATGAAGAGAAGGACGAGGGGGGACATGATAACAGTGTTCCAGTATCTCAGGGGCTGCCCCAAAGAAGAGGGAGTCAAGCTATTTTCCAAAGCGCCTGAAGGCAGGACAAGAAGCAACAGATGGAAACTAATCAAGGAGAGAAGCAACCTAGAACTAAGGAGAAAATCCCTAAGAATGAGAACAATTAACCAGTGGAACAACCTGCCTACAGAAGCGGTGAATGCTCCAACACTGGAAGTTTTTAAGAAGAGACTGGATAGCCATATGTCTGAAATAGTATAGGGTTTCCTGCCTGAGCAGGGGGTTGGACTAGATGACCTCCAAGTCATAAAAGGGCCAAGTTTGAAGACCCCTGCTCTAAAGCGAGTGTTTTTCAAACTTGCCAACTTTAAGAGGTGTGGACTTCAACTCCCAGAATTCTCCAGCCACCATAACTAGCTGGGGAATTCTGGGAGTTGAAGTCCACACCTCTTAAAGTTGGCAAGTTTGAAAAACACTGCTGTAAATTTGGGGTCCCCAACCCCCAGTCTGTGGACCAGTACTGGGCCACGGCATACCACCAACTGGGCCGCACAAACAAGCAAAGCCCCATCCATGGGATGCAGGCAGCACACACAACCACACGCTCGCCGGTCCACGGAAAAAACTTTCTCCACGGAAACGGTCCCTGGTGCCCAAAAGGTTGGGGATCTCTGCTGTAAGTGATCCAGAAAACCACGTGGGTAGCCTTTTATCTAGAAGGATCCATGCTACTAACCTCAGTTAATACTTGGTCCAGAAGTATCTTGGCCTCTTGGGAGACATTCCAGAGGTCCTTTTCTTCCACCATGATAGAATCCACAAAGCCCTTCTCCAAGACCACGTCAAAGCTTCCATCCATGAAAGTCAAGAACCGGGCATCCATTACCGCCCAGTGTAAGCCTGAGCAATGGGCATAACGGTCTTGCATACTTGAAATGCAGACAGCGGAATAATCTATGTTGGTGATGTCTCTGTGTCCCAGTTGGAAAAGATCGTAACTCAGAGCACTGTTCCCACAACCTGCAGAAGACACAATTGTGAGTTGGTTATGCTCAAAGATTTCCCAGCAGACAATCGGTCAACGATGCAAGCTGGCTCTTTAAACTTTTTCACAGCTAAATATTTGACATTTATTTATTTATTTATTTATTTACAATATTTATATGCCGCCCAATCCCAAAGGACTCAGGGCGGCGTACAAAATTAAAAACAGTCGTAAAACAATAAAATAATCCAGTCATACCGCGAGTCCGATCATATTCCGGCCCCCCAGGGACATCAGCCCCAGGCCTGCCGGAACAGGAGAGTTTTAACGGCTTTCTTAAAGGCCGGCAGGGTGGGAGTAGTTCGCACCTCGGGGGGAAGTTGATTCCACCAGGTCGGAGCCACCACAGAAAAGGCCCTTCCCCGAGGGCCCGCCAGCCGACATTGTCTGACCGACGGGACCCGAAGGAGGCCCAATCTATGGGACCTCACCAGTCTCTGGGAACTATGCGACATCTGGGACATCTATCGAGGGACATCTATCGAGTCATACATTTAACAGAATAACAGAATTGGAAGGGACCTTGGAGATCTTCTAGTCCAACTCCCTTCTCAGGCAGGAGACACTATGCCATTTCAGACAAGTGGTTGTCCAATCTCTTCTTAAAAGCTTCCAGTGTTGGAGCACCCACAACTTCTGGAGGCAAGTCGTTCCACTGACTAATTCTTCTGTTAGGAAATTTCTCCTTAGTTCTAGGTGTAAGAACGTCCTGCTGATGTGTGAATCAAATAGACCACCAGGTACGTTGCAGTAGTCAACAAAGGTTTATTTTGCTATGTCGAAAACAAAATCAGCTCTGGAATACACGCCTTTCCAGCGTTCTAATAAACCCCATCACCACACCCACCGTGTATGCCCCAATTACCCTAATTACCCCTGTAACTTGCAACCCCACCTGCACCACACCCTGTCGCCACATGTGTCATCCCTCAGGTCCATTATGTGTTGGCGCACCTTCGCCTCCGCCCCGCCCTCTCGTCCCAACAACCACAATCTGTCAGACCCAGCGTCATAAAGCAGCGCGGTCGTCCCACACAATGCCGGCCTATCCCATTCCCCCGTCCGACATGGTAATCAGTCACGTGGTCCGCCCATCATAGCGGAGGCGCCGGCATCAGTCCCGAGACGGCGCCGTCGCTCGGCTCCGACAAGGCTGGACGGAGTTCCGTTCGAAGGTACGGGCGCCGGTCAATGTCTGCACATGGGTAGGACTCAAGCTGGGTCTGACATTCGGCTCCCCCTCACCACAGGGCCCCCTAAAATGAAACAGAAACAGTTACGTGTCCATCCTGTCTGTCCTGGGATTGTCACCTATCCCCCTGTGTTCCTCGGTTTGTGCGGCCACATCCTGTGATATCGACGGGTGAGGGCGGGGGCGAGGACATCCTCCTCCCGTACCCAGGATGCCTCAGATACGGGGTATCCCTTCCACAAAACCAGCTAATACATATTGCCCCTCCGCCACCGGGAATCTAGTATATCCTGTATTTCGTATCTTCCCGGAGTAACGGGTCCTGGGGGAGGTTCGTTGTGGGTGTCTCCTTCTATCGGCTTTAACAAACTCACATGGAATACTGGGTGTATCTTACCAAATAATTCTGGCAAGTGCAGCTGTACCGTAACAGGGTTGATGATGCGTACTATGCGGAAGGGCCCGATGTATTTTGGCGCTAGCTTCTTGCATGGTACCTGTAACTTAATATACTTGGTTGATAAGTACACCCGGTCACCCACTCTCAATTGCATTGGCATTCTACGACCGTTGTCGGCCTGCTCTTTCGCTACCTTTTCCGCATGTTGTAACGCCTGTTTTACCGTACTCCACACCTGATGTGTACGGGACATCCAGTCTCCGGGGCGTAGGTTCACGGCTCCCTGTGGCTCGGTCCCAGGTAATGGAACTGGATCGTACCCGTAAACTACTTGGAAAGGGGTCAACCCGGTGCTTTTATGCACTGCGTTGTTATACGCTAATTCCGCAAACGGCACGAAATCTATCCGATCCGACTGCTGGTAAGATACATAAGATCGGAGATATCGTGAAATTGCTGCATTAGCCCGTTCCGCTGCCCCGTTGGTACAAGGGTGGTATGCGGAACTCAGGCCCTGTGTGGTTCCAATGATTGCGAGGAATCTACGCCAGAATTGGGCCGTAAACTGAACGCCCCGGTCCGAAATAATTCTACGGGGCGCTCCATATAATCGATATATGTGCTGCACGAACAATTTCGCTAGCCTCCTTGCAGACGGTAGTCCCTTGCAGGGGATAAAGTGTGCTTGCTTCGAGAATAAGTCAACAACCGTCCATATTACCGTGTAACCCCTGACGTTTGGTAACTCAACAAGGAAATCCATTCCAATGTCCTGCCAGGGGCGAACCGGATTAGATACCGGTTGTAGCAGCCCCATCGGCCTCTTCGGTACTACTTTAGCCTGTGCGCAATTATGGCATTCTTTAACGTACCGCTCAATATCATTCCGCAAACTGGGCCACCAGAACCGTCGTCTCGCCAGGTGGAGCGTCTTGATGAAGCCAAAATGGCCTGCCACCTTGGAGTCGTGACATTGGTAAAGCACCCGATGACGCATTTCCTGAGGGATGTACAACCTATTCCTGTACCAAGCCAACCCATCACGATGGGTTAATAATCCGGGGTTTGCCTGCAACCAGGGATCGGTCAACAATGCAGCTTGCAGTTCTTTCTCGAACGTCACCACTTTTGCACATCCTTCCACCTGCGCGGGATCCATACTACATATCGGCATAATAGTCTGGATCACTTGTTCCTTTTTACTATCGTACTGTGGTAGCCGGGAGAGTGCATCTGCTAGGAAATTCTTTCCTCCAGGCACCACCTTCAAGCGAAACCGGAAACGCTGAAAATACTGCGCCCATTGAACGTGTTTCGGCGCCAATCTCCTTGGAGTCTGGAGGATCGTTAGGTTCCGGTGGTCCGTCCACACCTCAAAGGGGTGTTGTGCACCCTCCAATAAGTGGCGCCAGGTGGACAACGCCCATTTTATAGCAAATGCCTCCTTCTCCCACACCGCCCACCGTCGCTCGGGGTCGGTAAATTTTTTAGAGGTGTATGCGCACGGTTGCAATTCACCTTGGTCATTACGTTGCATCAAAAGCGCACCGACGGTCACATCACTGGCGTCGGCCTGCACTACAAATGGCCTACTCGGGTCAGGGTGTAATAACACCGGTTCCTCTGCAAATAGTTGTTTTAGAGACTCAAAGGCCCGTTGACAGGCCACAGTCCAGTCTAATGCCTGTTTCGGGTGGGGTTTGCCAGTCGTGTTTTTGGTGCGTAACAGTTGGGTTAATGGTAGAGCCACGTCAGCGAAAGAGGGGATGAACTGTCGGTAGAAATTGGCAAACCCCAAGAATCTCTGCAGTTGACGACGGGTCCTTGGAGCCTGCCATTCTAGAACACTGCGCACCTTACTAGGATCCATTTCTATCCCTGTAGCTGACACTCTGAACCCTAAATAGTCAATCCGATCTTTGTGAAACTCGCACTTCGATAATTTACAGTATAGGTTGGCATCCAATAATTTCCGCAGTACCGTCCGTACTAATTGTACATGGTCTTCTAACGTCTGTGAGTAGATGAGTATGTCATCCAGATATACAAGGACGCCTCTATATAGATGGTCATGCAACACTTCGTTGATCAGTTGCATAAATACAGCTGGTGCCCCTTGTAACCCGAACGGCATCACCTTGAATTGGTAGCTACCCAGAGGACAGTTAAATGCCGTTTTCCACTCGTCCCCTTCTCTAATTCGTACCCTATAATATGCCTCACGGAGGTCTAGTTTTGTAAAGATCTTCCCAGCCGCCAAATGGGTGAGTAGGTCTTTCATAAGCGGCAGGGGATACACTTGGTCTATACACACTGCGTTCAGACCTCGGAAGTCTACACACAACCTCAATCCCCCGTCTTTTTTTCCCTGAAATATGACTGGAGCTGCTACCCTCGAACGTGCTGGTTCTATAAATCCCCTGGCCAAGTTCTTATCAATGTACTTTCTCATTTCCTGCAGTTCTGCGAATGTCACAGGGTACATTCTAGGTTTGGGTAGTTTGGCATCAGGAGCGAGTTCGATTGCACAATCTGTCCGTCTGTGAGGTGGCAAACTGTCACACTCCTGTTCGCTGAACACCGCTGCGAGATCATCATATACCCGTGGGTATTGGGCTTCGTCCTTCCCCTGCACCGTTTTTGAGGGGTTTAACTTTCTATCTCTATCCACGTCATCCGGCGGCCGCGGATGCGGACCTACCGCTAGCCTTAGATGCCTGGACCCCTCTGCCCACCAAATGGTTGGTGTCCACTTATCCATCCATGCCAATCCCAGAATAACAGACTCGGACATAGAGGGAACAACTACGAATCTTATGATCTCCCAATGACCCCCTATATCCATCCTAACAGGTTCTGTCACCCATGTAGTGGGAGCCCCCCCCAACAGAGAGCCATCTACCTGCTCAAAACGGATTGGGGTCTTTAGCCGGGCCACCCTGATCCGCATCTGTTGCACTACCCCCTTACTAATTAGGCACCTTGTGCACCCTGTGTCTAGTAATGCCGGAAAGGGCATCGACTCACCCGTAACCGGGCTTGTCAATGAAATGGGGATGGTGAAGGGAACGATGGGGTCACTCACCATTGGATCCTCCACCGGCCCTTCCTCCTCGTATTCCTGCAACGTAGGGGACGCCTCGTCGGGTGTTTGCTGGACCGGCGACTGTCCCAGTTGGTAGGCCACCCGTGATTTCTCTGTTGGTCTCTTTGATGTGGCACCTGGTGTACCAATCGCCGTAGGTGTACCTGTTGGCTTAGGTATTCCACACTCCGCGGTGCGATGGCCCGGTTGGTTGCAGCGGAAGCATCTGAAGGTAGGTCTTGGACGTACCGTCCCCGGCATGGCTTGGCTGGTACCACCCACGGGCTGATCCTGAGTC